TTCTTTAAAAAAAAAAAAAAAAAGAAGAAATTAAAATAAGATAAGAAAAAAGTTCAAGTCGCTATCTAAAAGTATTACTTAAAAAAAAAATAATTATGTAATGATGTGACGGATTCGTTATTGACCCTCATCATAGTTTCAGTGATGCAATCAAATTTTGATGAAGTTACATTTTGGGAATGCGTTTTTGGATTAAAAACAACAGATAAAAACAACCCATAGCAGTTTTGCAAACTTTCTTCTCTATCCACTAGAGAAGACGTATGTTGCATCTTTACTCTCCCCTATTTACCATACGCCTTACGGCTACGAGAAGATACGCTTATATTTTAAAAGATTCTAAAATCTTAACAGATTGTCGTACGGACAATACAAATGTGGCCGACCAATAAAATAAGTTGTGAAGCTAATGAATAATTATGTTTCCGTCTATGACTACTTGCAATACATATTTACATTGGCAAGTGCCACCCTACTTCCCCCAAACCTGTTGATTTAAAACAGGTTTTGCAAACAACCAACAACATATCTATGAATAGCATGACACCTCCCACAGTCCCTAGTGATCCTTACAATTTGTAACCAGGAGTCAGTCAATGCATTCTTGTATCATACACCCTTTTCCCTTGCTATTTACTTACTGGGAACACATACATGCTTACCCATAAATATATGTGTTTCCATATTTCTCTTCAGAGACTTTCGCCTGGTAAAATACAGCTTAATCAACAAGTTCGAGAAATAAGCAGAGCCAGAGTGGTTCTCGTCTTGTTAAGCAGCGAACCAAAGTCAAGGTCAGAGGGAAAAACACACACGCACACATATACATAAATATATATACATATATATATATATATATATATATATATATATATATATAATGTGAAGGGGGGTAGGGTTGTATATCATTTTATTATACAGTGTTATAAAGATAGTTTTTTGGGTAAAATTTCTTGGGTTCAAATATGTACGAACTTATCCTGCACTCTTAAAAACTAAACTGTTTTTTTTTTTTTTTTAAATTTACAATAATTAGCACATATTTTTTTAAAAATAATTTCTGGATTTTCGCCAGTTTCGTCTTGTTTTTATTTTGTTTTTGGTACTTAATTCTGTTTGATGGTGGTCGTAGGGTGATAGCTAGAATGGTTATATGATTTTAGGGGAGGAAGTCATTGGAAATGTTACACAACGTTGTAAGGGGCTAGGGTTTTGTTCAAAATGTAACAGTTTTGTGATATGTAATAGGTTCACGGGCCGTGATATTATTTGGAGCGTGTCACGATTGAAAAGTCTAAGTGTGTCATTGTAGAAGAGAAACATAATGACGACACAATTTATTAAAAACTGTCAATTATTTCTCTCATATCATGAAAAATCCTTTTTCGTAAATAATAATAATAAGAAGAAGAAGCACAATAATAATAATAAGAACAATAATAGCGCATTTCAAAAAAGCGATGAAGATCCTGTTCATTTGTAATAAATTTTTACTGATTTTTTCTCCCTTTTTTTTTTACATGGAAAGTTTATTCAAATCTATGGATTATATAAAGAAAGGAATGGGGGTGGAGACGGCAGCTTAAAAAAAATTTGAATATGATCGGACACCATTTGGGCACGCTGCAGAGCTTTTTTTTTCCCTGAAGGGGGAGCTTCAAAAATCTTGGACCTCCCTGGGCGGCACTATGGCACTGATTTAAATTCACGCGCTCTTCGAAACGAATTATCATTTTTTTTTTTAAAAAAAGACATTTTTTACCCACCCACCCCGCCCATCCCCGCAAAAAAAATGAATTTGCAATGACAAAGATGAATATTGATTATTACTATTAAATATTTTAAAACCACCCTTCCCTCCCATCCACCCCCCTGCCAAGTTCTCTTTATTTCATTTGCTGAGAAATTACTTAAAGTATTTCTTATTAGATGAAACCCAAATATAATTACTTAGCTGAATCTAATTTTGTATTTAATTTTTTTTTTTTTTTTTTTTTTTTTTTTTTTTTCAAATTTAAAAAA